GTGTCGCATGTCATTAACCTGTTCAACCTCAGTAACATATGGAGAAAGACTATTTATTTTTGCGTGTACCTTGAACAGCCGAAATATGATGGGTGAATCTAGGACGATCGCGCTTTGTTGTGAATGGATAACGTAACGATTAAATAAAACCGGATCACGAGACTGACTGTCGTCAGTTGTCAGATTATGACGTTGTTCGTTTAAACGGATAAAAGATGGATCAACCCGACAGGAACTGTTAACTTTTTGCCGGATTAAAATTCAGTACTCGAAACATGCCCAGTGTGATGAGTTAGCTCAAGGTAGCTCCAAACTAAGCACCCATTTCACGAAGTTGCTGAGCTACGTGTACTGAAACGATCGATGTCGGGATGATATGTCATGGTAGAATGGTATTTGCTTGGAAGTGACCGAGCTACTCGATAAGGCTAGGTAACGGTAAAAGTTCCCGGAGGATCAATTACGTATCAGGTAGAAGGTAATAAAGACAGTCAGTTACTTATTGGGATCTGAAGTTATGCTGCGCATAATTTTCACAAACTTTCACTAAATCAATGATGAGAATTGTTTAAATATTTTTAGAGTAGAATAATTGAATAATCAATTTTCTTCGAGGAAAACACTCACCGTATATTAGGGAAAGGATAAATTTAGACAGTGTGATCATGCAACTAGTGCGCTTGTGTTCTGCCAGTATGTCACTGTTTTCGGAATCTGCTTTCACGCCTTGCTACAAAGCTGAGTGTTGTTTGTGATGCTCTACAAAAGTCGAACACCTAAGACATATTGCTTCTGGTCGTCAAACTTCTACTCCCTTAGTTTGCACACAGCAATTTGTGCTCCATGAATCGGTTTTCCGTTTGATTCAAACTCAAAAAGCGTTCTTGACAAGTCTTTGAATGAGAGTTTGAGAAAAATCTTCATGGTGGCTCCATTAATTTTGCAATATCTAGAATACTATCGGGTGAAATTACGAAGGTTCATCTGGTTTACCCGATTGTAAACGAATTAGGCTTTACAGTTAGTATAAGTAAAACCAAAATAATTTTACCGAACAAATGCCCTTAGCAGCGTGAGATCGATTGGTTATCCTGTCGGATCTCAAGCAGATTGACTTTGAGGCCTATCTGGTGTGCAAAAACAATACGTCAGCATTCTTATCCCTGCAAATGTAATCCATTCTGATGCATAAAAATCCGTACCCATTTACAGTTTTGTGAAGCTGCTGAATTTTCACCACCTCGGGTGGCATGGAGCAAATACTTCATTCCGCTTGATTTGACTCCTCAGTGTGCTGGATATCGAAAATCAATTAATGCCACACAAACACGCGGTAGTTGTGTCTGCACAAAACAAGCAATATCAATATATTTTGGAAACGGAATTGGAAATTTAGTTAAATGGACCATGAATGTCCATGTCGACAACCTGAGGAATCATGTAAAGTCCTATATGAGCTACGCATTCCGAATTTAAACTTGGGCATACACTGTTTTAATATGGACTCGGGATGTTTACTGCACACCTTCAAAATCATAAAACTCTACAACCCTGCACGTCCACTATATTGTTTGGGAAAACCAATCTTGCAGTTTGTTCTGGCCTTGATTAACGAAAGCAGTTTTAAGACTAACCTGCACAACTGCTTACTTCCAACTCGTTTCAAATCCTTTTTCCTCGATTCTGTACTGAAAGAATATAGAAGTGAACTCGGAAGGCATCTAGCTCAACCAAATACCAAGAAACGTTAATGGGAATATCACTACGGCTAGTTATAGGTGTTCGAGTATTTTTATAGTCGCTTCACTTGGTCCCTTCGCGTTCACATGCATTAGTTTCCAAGATTGACCTACACCGTGACATACGTTCACATGAAACAGTTATCCCATAGTGCAAATTCAGTTGCTGGCAGAACAACAATTGTCGGTCGTGCACGCGTTATTGATAAAATCTTTACGCGATCACTATACAGTGAACCATGTGTTGAATTTGAACAACTGAATTCAGCTTCACTGTAACATGGTCGGTAAAACTGCTTGTGCAACACTCATTTTGCTTTTCAATGAAACCGAAGTAATGCCGATATGTCCTGTGGTTTGCATAACTCGATTGTAATGTTTCTGCTCGAGGGCCTGAAAAGATGGAGGATGAAGTACTTTTCGAGAAACGCCCTCATTAAGAAATTGCATTTGGCAGTTTAGGGAATTCAGAAGAAGCGCATTTGTCCAAATCGACTTCGTCCTTCGACTAGAAACTCACCTCATACTTTTTATGTTATATCACTTCTGATTGAGAATATCTGCGATGTGCATATTGATGCGTGCTTGGTGTTTTCTGATAATATTCGGTTTGATTGCACCCATTTTTTACACATTGATCTGAGTGCAATGCAAATCACACCCCTCCGCCCTTTCCAAATACAAACTCATTCCATAAATGAATAGTCCCCTTCCAAAGCCGTTCATTGTTTAGGCGTGCTGGGTACGGCGTTCCCAATGTGCGTGATATAAATAGTTCTTCCCATACTTCGTCTAACATCTGTATTATTGGTCAAATCTCTATGCAAACCTTACTTCTAAATGTGCATTACTTTCAATCTTCAGAATTTAATTTCCAAAACTCTACCCGTGTCCGGCCAATTGCACAGAACGTCACTAAGACCAAAATGGTTGATAGTATGCGTTTTTTAGGATTCGTTACTTTCCTCACGAGACACATGTGACACATACTGACGATGTTTCTCTCACATCAATCACCGAACATTCCTGAACGGCATTCCGCTGTCTGCCGGACCAGGTGTGGTTGATCAATTTCGGACAAATNGATTAGCCAGTTTCTTTCTGACAGGGCTTAACAAAACGCCCTTAGTGTAGTCAGCCTGTGTGTGACCGTTTTCGGTCGCGCATGACCAACGCGATCAACATGCCCCAAATGTCATTATGCATTCTATCGGATCAGGGAAATTTCCTAATTTATACCAGTAGATCTCTGAGTCGAAATATTTTCACCTCTTTACTACTGCTGAAAAACTGCAAAATAAATGACCGATACTTCCAAAATTAAGTGGTATATATGTTCGAGTGTATACAGTGCTTCTTTATCCAAATAGATGAGTCCTTTAAGGTCGTGGAGGCGCAGTGGTTTAGTCGCTGTCACCGGCGTGCTTTAGACCCCCTGGTCCGAGGTTCGAGTCCCGCCACCGCCACCCGACTTTGGTGGTAGGCCGCTCTGCTGTCGTCCGGTTCAATACCACACTCAACCTATCGGGGCCTTATGTGGTTTACCACTCCAAGTCCCGGGGCTTAGGTTACCGGTTTCCATCACTGAACAGCAGGCCCTCGTGATTATGGGGTTCCACCCCGTCTGCTGTTCATCACACGAAATTGTGTAATAGAAAATGATTTCTTTCCTGAAAATGACCAATGAAGTTCAATGATCAATTAGTTGTCAGGTATCTTTATTTGCATTGAGAATGTGATGATCAGAATAGGTTTAACACACCTTACATAAATCATCCGTACGAACAGACGATCAGCTGACACTATGCACGCACACACACACACAGGCATGCATACATCACAGAACATCTATGCTGTCCGATTAGTTGCCAAGGCAAACCCACTCACTGTTTTATCGATTGGTGCTCATCGATTTATTTCTGTTTACATGTATGTAAGCTGGTATATTCATTCATCACTCGGTAAGCGGTTTATTTAGCCTGTAGTTGTTCTCTGTCACTTTGTCAGACTCCTAACAGTATGCAATCAACAACAAAAATGTGTTTCGTCCACGAAATTCGGCATCGTACTCGAGTTCATCAAAGTCCTACTCGGATTCAGCTGTGAATAGTAATGTACCCCCCACCCCCCTGATTCGCCACGTCCGGAGCAAGTTGATCAATGGTTCGTTTGGGTTCTGTTTGTGCATCTCTGCACAGTTCCGATAATTTGCGAGAAAATTCGAAGAAGGCCACAAAGAAATGATAACACAAATGCAAATTAAATGAGCAATTGCCCAACTCGGATTGGTCAAACCTGTGGCCGTTTGATCATAGGCTGGTTAGTCTCATATTTGTTACCTTGGTTAGTTTCACACTGCTTGTGTCATGAACTTCAGGATGCTGGTTGTCCTTAGTACTGGGATGATCTAACTCTGTTCGATCCACTTTAATGCCTTCCTCATGATGAGATGATACCACGAGAAAAGAAAATGTGACAATGTTGATCTTATAAGATACAGATAGCAGATTATTGTCTAACGCGTTTGTGATGGGTATTTGCACGAGTCATAGTTGATGTCATCGGCACATCTAGTTTATTCACCATTTCTGACGATCATGAGAAAACCCTTACTGTTTGGAAAATGCATATTATTATGACACAATGATTCTCCCAAACCTTCGGAGCTTGTCTCTAAAACTCGAGAGAACAAAGGCAGCCGGTAGATTGCTAAACATACATAGTGACACGAGTATTATTGGAAAAGGCCGTAGTTTGCGGAATCTAAATATATGTAAACCTTAAAAATCGGGAGATTGGTGGATGGATGGATGAATTCCAGTCTACGGTGTAATCACTTTCCTTTTCTACTCCATATCCGCACTATTTATGGTTGCCATTAAAAGTAAAAAAGAATCATTGTTTATTTGTAGAAGGTATATTTTGAATGTGGTTAAATGTATGTATAAGCGTGGATGAACGAGTTCATGACGAGATTGTATAATGTATATTGACAACCACTAGAAGCGTGCTGAAATTATGACAATAGATGGTACGGGAAATGTCTTTGGTTTCTATGGAAAATAGAATGGGAAATGACCGAATGTAAGTCGTAAGCGCTTGCGAGTGAAAAAAAGTACACGAGTTCGCATGCGCATTTTCATATCGGACAAATGTTCACACACACACAAAGGAGAGTATATCTGAGTGGGATGGTCTTTGCAAGTGCGCGATCCACGCGCAAATACACAATCGAATAGTGTCGTTTGTGACCGAGTTTATTTACGCGTCATATTGCTCGTCGGCTATAGAGAGTCCCTTGGAGAAGATTTCCATTTCTGAGGTTTTCGACCTTTTGCCAATAACGACATGCGGGTAGGACAGTTCGTTAGCCACATCATCGAATGTACGATTCTTGGTCTCCGGGAGGAACAGGAAGAATACGATCCAGCAGGCAACCACAATCACCAAGAACGGTAGGAATGAGTAACCTTTGATAGCATCCTGAGTAAGGGATATGAAGCATGGGAGGAACGGTTTGATTAGATGATTTCAATTGTAAGCAGAACATTTATAGAATTTCGGCAATTATGATTCACCCATTACGGCAACATTTCGGTTGATACATAATTGTAAAAGAGTTGTGTTATAATACACAACAAGAGTAATGACAGTTTTTGTTTGTATGTGGCCCATTCATGCACTTTGTTACATATTTGTTGTGCAACAAACACGCTGTCGGTTTTTCACCTGAACATCCAAATGATTCTATTTGTATTAACCACTAAATATAAATCTGTTCTCGCCTTGGGCGCAGCTCATTGAATTTCCACTACCCGAATACACGATTTTCGTTTAACCTCTTCTCATGACAATAGCAGTTGCATCATAAAAGACAGAAAACCATGCAAGGCTCAGATGACATTGGCGGTTTTCTGTTGAAGATTGTTGTCTTCAGGAACTGAAGAGATGATGTGCTCCCTTAGATATCAAATATCCAAACAATATTAAATTAATCTGCAAAGTCAAAGCAGAAAATTTTAATCTGGGCACTACAAAAAGAGGTTGTATGCATTTGTGCGACTCACATTAATGCTAGGATAGCTGATCAAGACCAACAGATTGGACAGCCACTGAATTCCTTGACTGAGAGCGTAAGCTGCTGCACGCGGTTCTTGTCGGAACATCTCAGACACAATCATGGCGGGG